TTGTGATATAGATGTGTTTTCTCTTGACACAGCTGAAATCTGAATGCCAAGTGTAACTACTGATAAGGAAGTCATAAGAATCCCTGTGGGGGACGGAGACCTCCGCCCTTCCTAGGATGATCCATGTGTGAATAAAGACAGGCGCCGTTTGAGTGACATTCCCCATCCTGGGTATCATGATTTTTTTTTTTTCTCCAGTCATGACGACCCAGAGAAAGAAGGAGGTGTGGGTTTGGTATAAGAGGCTTATCAGGGATGTTGGCCTACCCTGTAAAAAGTCCTTCAATGATGCTGTTCAACTTTGTTAAAGCTCCTATGATGTTAATTTTGGTGCCCCCTGTAGACAAAACAGCAGCCCTTATATCATTGCTAATTTCATCTGGGCCTTGTGACATTCTCCCCCTATCGTCTTTTTACACTGGGATTTATAAATCACTTTAAATATTTGCTGTGGAAATAGTAACAAAGGCAGATTCTTTGGCGCACCTACCCCTTCATAGCAGTCAGAGGCGTTAAAAATTCAAATATAGAACATGTCAATCTTGTCAAAATTTGTCTCAATTGATTTTTTACATCATAGAAATACATCACAACTCATTTCATCCTGTTTCATAACCAACAAAAAAACTCCCTACACTAGCTTTAACTTTCATTTTCTAACATGAAATCTACTCTGTTGACCTTCTCAGTAAATTGTTCTCACCAAATCTAGCTATGACATTTCAAAATTGATTGGTTATGAAGTTAATATTTTAAACCATACCTCATAAAAAATTGGGGCAAACAAAATGAGACTTCCTGTTTGATTAATCAATATTGTCTTTAAAGTTAGTGACTCTTCTGTCAGGGATCTGTTCAAGTCTTCAAACAATCACACAAACACATTCTTCGCCATTAAAGAAAAACTGATCTAAAATGGTTATTTATTGTAATGTTTCAGATCAAGTGTCTTATAGACATCTCCCAAAGTTGGAGCATTCTTATTCCTATGTGTCATCCAGAAAGCTTCCTCTGTGGGGGTCTAGACCTGCAGCTCTAGGCCAGAAGCTTTAGCAGAGGGTACCAGGTCAGAGCAAGCAGGAGGCCGGCTGTTCAGTTGATGGAAAAAAGAAGGATGACTCCGACTGGGTGGACATAATAAGAAGATTCAACTTGGACGGCCAGTTTACATCATTTCCAAAGAGTTATTTTAAATGTAGAAAAAAAAAAAAACAGACTGATTTTGTAAAGGCCAGAGTTTCTAGCTGAGAGGGAAAAAGCTCAGCAGGCACAACAATGGTCAAGTGAAGGGGTGAAATCATAAAAAAAGGATTGTTGTATGCAAATTTAACGAAAATAAAGTCACCCACAAAGACACTGAAGACTACAAGGCTGACACAACAAACACAGCCTCAAGGAGCCGAACAATATAACAAGCAAAGAACATAGAGTTAATCCTAGAGATAATGGAGGACCTTAAAGACTGAACATTATGGTCAATTGATAGAAACGACAACAACACCAATTTACTGGCTGTTTTTGTAGACTACTCAGTTTTGTTACATACAGTAAAGTGCATATTTTAGGTTTTGAAAACTCAGACAGAACTAAGTCACAGTTTTTAGTAACAGTGTACAGTATTGAGCGAAAAGGAGGTGGAGAGGATAAAAAGAGGAAGTCAAAGACAAATAACAGAGGCGGGGTTGTGGGGGGGGGGTTGGGGGTATAGAATCCTCAAGGGTTGGTTTGCCCCCCAATCCCCCTCCCAACCCTTGAGGATTCTATAATCCAAAAAAAGAGAGAGCTGTGACTCTCAGACACTCAATCTGACAAGATGCATTAAAGAAATGGAAGAAAGGGAAGAGGCAAAGCCAGATAAGAAGGCTGCTTCCAGGGAAAAAAAAAGAAGGGGGGAGAGATGGGATGATGAGCTGCAGATGTGACAAAGGAGATTGTGCTGGAAACCAGCCATCAACAGATCCATGAAACAATGGCACCATCCTGGGCAAAGAACACAATCACAGGGATTATACTGTGCGACACAGTTTCATTCAGTCTGGGTCTGTAATATGAACCTTCAAAGACTATCTCATGACTCTCCAGTACAACACAAATCACTTTTTAGGTTAAGTAAAAAAAAAGAAAAATACAAGTCGGGAACAGATTGGTTGTTTTTGTCTTGACGTTAAGTTGTCATACTGCTTTGCTCTGTAACGAATGATAAAAATAAATCAAACAAACAAATAAAAAGTAAAACTAGGACCCCGTTGGGGCACTGGCGGGCCCGAGCTGTGTCGCGTCCCCCCCCCAACGCGCTGCCTCCCCGTCCCATTTGTGTCCTCTGGCCATCGCCCTCTCTGGTAACGCCCATCACTGCAAAGACCCTTTTCCTTCATCGGCGTTTGCTGTTCTTCCTGCCAGTGCGTGTTGCTTTCACTTACACTTGCCACAGCCAGCCTCGTGAGTGCCTAGCCTATTGGATATCACTGTCACCTACTCAGGACAGTCATTACCTTTCTATTAATACTTTGTTTTTTAATTTCACATTAATTTCCATATTGTATAAACAACTGGAAAAAACTTGAGCCCCTGCCCCTGTATAATCATGTGCACGTCTCTGTTCTAGCTGTAAGGTGAATCTTCACTGCTCATGTTCTCCTCAGAAGCAGTCACCTCACTCCCCTCAGGTTACTGTACACATGCACCAACTGCCTGCTTCAGGTTTGGATGGAGCTTCATGGTTGTCTTTTGGAGAAATGACCAGTCAAGTTGTGTTTGAAATTTGATTTTTTTCAGGGGCAAAAGGAAGCCTCTGCATTCTTGTCAAATATGTAAATAGCATGTTTTTGCAGGTGCTAAAAAACAGACTCTGAGTGTGTGTGTGTGTGTGTGTGTGTGTGTGTGTGTGTGTGTGTGTGTGTGTGTGTGTGTGTGTGCGTTCAAGTCACATGACATATTTAACCGGATGTAGCTGCAAGACGGAGCCTCGTTGACTCCGTTTCAACTTATCTCAAAAGTGAGGACCTCAACCTATATACCAGTTTTTAAATTGTGTTGATAGGCCAAATAAAACCAGAGTTATGATAAATTATGTCCGCGATACTTTTTTTCTGCTTATTTTGATCACGTTCGGCGCTCGATCGCGCTGTATGAGACAGGAAAACATAGCATGCAGACATTAGCGACAGGTCTTACAGGCGGAAAAGGCTTGCCAAAGGAAAAAAAAAACACACCACAACATCTCTCCTATTGGTGGAAAACTTCACCACAACAACCAATCCAAAATTATATGGTGACTGATTGACAGGGGGCGGGCGCTTACGTTCTTCCTGCAATATGAGAAGGGAGGGAGGGACTCTCAGCAGGGATGCAGTCTGGGACACGTAGTTGCAAACCTAGCGACTTTGTTGTTAGATTCAATGACTTTTCAGACCCCCTAACGACTTTTTTTTTAGAAAGAAAGTGACTTTTATCGACTTCTTCTGGAGTTTAGAGACTCTGACATGAAGCAGGCTTTCCTTACTGAGGAGTTAGCAACGCTGCTAAGGGTGCAGAGCCACACATGCGCTCCGAGCTCTGCATGGGAGACTGAAGCTGACAGAGCTGCAGCAGTTAGCAGGTTTCACCCTCAGAGACCACCAGGGGTTCATGTTGAGGCATTTTCAGTTTTTTTTTTTTTTTTTTGCCATAGACACTGTCAGCACAATCTGCAGTTACACTAACAAAAATGCTGCAAAAAACAAAGAATTATGGAAAAATTACACATGGACTAACATAGAGGAGGATCTACACAAGTTTTTTACATCATGTTTTACATCATGCATCATTTACATCATGTTTTTTTGTAGTGGCATAAATAAAAAGTGACATTTGTGAGACTATACAGTGTTTTGTAAATAATTTTACAAAGAACACCTGGGCCATTGCCTGCATTTTGATGTAAATAGAGGTAAATTACTATGTTCTTTGTTAAAAATTTGCATATGTTTTGAAGTTTACAATTTTTATTTGAAGTTTAAGTTTTAAAAACAGTTCATCACACATATTTGTGGTTTTCACAGTAAAAACGTTACTTTTTTCCACTCGGATTTTATGTTTTGTGTGTGAATTTGGGTCCAATGTGTAAATATAGTATGTCAAAATGATAAAATAACTGTAAATTGACACAGGTGAGGTTGTGCTGAAAAAAATGATACCAGGCAAGGCAAGGTAAAAATTTTGTAAGAGGAAATATAAAGGTAAAATCTAAAGTAGTCAAAAACGGCCAATAGTGACTCACAGACTCCACAGACAAGTCCCTTTGGCGCCACTCAGTGGGCAAAACTACTTTGTCTACTGTAATGTATATTTGGGTCATCTTTGGCGCCCCCTAAAACGTAAACCGTGGGGTGCAGCGTCATGATTTTTACAACTTTGAATGGCCATGGAGTGTAGATTGGCCTGAGCAAATTTGGTGTCAGTGGGACGAAAGCCTTAGGAGGAGTTAGCGAAATTCCAATGTGTGCGAATCGGCAAAAAATGCAAAATAGCCCTTTTACCGTACATTATACAGATACGCGCTCTTTGACTTTTTCGTAGATCTAATTGAGATACACATGATTGTCAATTTTTGTGTCATTTTGCCAAAGCGTACAGGCGTGACAGTCAACAATGTGTATTTTCACCTTAGGGGACAAGAAAAAATGGACTTTTTTCTCCTGCCATGGGGGGCGCTCTTTTGGGGAGTAAAAATTCCTTCACAAATGTGTTGATGGCTGGACATTGCATCATCCTAGAAAACTTGGAGGCCAGTGAGGACAAAAATAAAAAGTTATAAGACTTTTAAAAATGTGGATTTTTGGGTTATCTTTGGCGCCCCCTAGAACCTAAACCGTGGGGTGCAGCGTCATGATTTGAATAACTTTTAATGGCCATGGGGTGTAGATTGGCCTGAGCAAATGTGGTGCCGGTGGAACGAAAGCCTTCGGAGGAGTTAGCGAAATTCCAATGTGTGCGGATCGGCAAAAAATGCGAAATAGCCCTTTAACCGTACATTTGACAGATACGCCCGCACTGACTTTTTTGTAGATCTTATTGAGATACATGTGTGTGTCAATTTTTGTGTCATTTTGCCAAAGCGTACAGGTGTTACACTCAACAATGTGTATTTTCACCTTAGGGGACAAGAAAAAATGGTTTTTTTTCTCCTGCCATGGGGGGGCGCTCTTTTGGGGAGTAAAAATTCCTTCACAAATGTGTTGATGGCTGGACATTGCATCATCCTAGAAAACTTGGAGGCCAGTGAGGGCAAAAATAAAAAGTTATAAGACTTTTAAATATGTGGATCTTAGGGTTATCTTTGGCGCCCCCTAGAACCTAAACCGTGGGGTGCAGCGTCATGATTTGAATAACTTTTAATGGCCATGGGGTGTAGATTGGCCTGAGCAAATGTGGTGCCGGTGGAACGAAAGCCTTCGGAGGAGTTAGCGAAATTCCAATGTGTGCGAATCGGCAAAAAATGCGAAATAACCCTTTAACCGTACATTTGACAGATACGCCCGCACTGACTTTTTTGTAGATCTTATTGAGATACATGTGTGTGTCAATTTTTGTGTCATTTTGACAAAGCGTACACGCGTGACAGTCAATAGTGTGAATTTTCACCTTAGGGGGCGCTATGGAGCCATTTTGCATTTTCTTGTTTGGGCGACTTCGGAATATCAAATTTTTCACCAGGCCCGGTCGTCCTGCCAAATTTCATGAGTTTTCGCCAGTGGGAAGTGGGCCATTTTCCAGTTTAAAGGGGAGGAAAAATAATAATAATAACAAACTAGGACCCCGTTGGGGCACTGGCGGGCCCGAGCTGTGTCGCGCCCCCCCCCCAACGCGCTGCCTCCCCGTCCCATTTGTGTCCTCTGGCCATCGCCCTCTCTGGTAACGCCCATCACTGCAAAGACCCTTTTCCTTCATCGGCGTTTGCTGTTCTTCCTGCCAGTGCGTGTTGCTTTCACTTACACTTGCCACAGCCAGCCTCTTGAGTGCCTAGCCTATTGGATATCACTGTCACCTACTCAGGACAGTCATTACCTTTCTATTAATACTTTGTTTTTTAATTTCACATTAATTTCCATATTGTATAAACAACTGGAAAAAACTTGAGCCCCTGCCCCTGTATAATCATGTGCACGTCTCTGTTCTAGCTGTAAGGTGAATCTTCACTGCTCATGTTCTCCTCAGAAGCAGTCACCTCACTCCCCTCAGGTTACTGTACACATGCACCAACTGCCTGCTTCAGGTTTGGATGGAGCTTCATGGTTGTCTTTTGGAGAAATGACCAGTCAAGTTGTGTTTGAAATTTGATTTTTTTCAGGGGCAAAAGGAGCCTCTGCATTCTTGTCAAATATGTAAATAGCATGTTTTTGCAGGTGCTAAAAACCAGACTCTGAGTGTGTGTGTGTGCGTGTGTGTGTGTGCGTTCAAGTCACATGACATATTTAACCGGATGTAGCTGCAAGACGGAGCCTCGTTGACTCCGTTTCAACTTATCTCAAAAGTGAGGACCTCAACCTATATACCAGTTTTTAAATTGTGTTGATAGGCCAAATAAAACCAGAGTTATGATCAATTATGTCCGCGATACTTGTTTTCTGCTTATTTTGATCACGTTCGGCGCTCGATCGCGCTGCATGAGACAGGAAAACATAGCATGCAGACATTAGCGACAGGTCTTACAGGCGGAAAAGGCTTGCCATTGGAAAAAGAAAACACACCACAACATCTCACCTATTGGTGGAAAACTTCACCACAACAACCAATCCAAAATTATATGGTGACTGATTGACAAGGGGCGGGCGCTTACGTTCTTCCTGCAATATGAGAAGGGAGGGAGGGACTCTCAGCAGGGATGCAGTCTGGGACACGTAGTTGCAAACCTAGCGACTTTGTTGTTAGATTCAATGACTTTTCAGACCCCCTAACGACTTTTTTTTTAGAAAGAAAGTGACTTTTATCGACTTCTTCTGGAGTTTAGAGACTCTGACATGAAGCAGGCTTTCCTTACTGAGGAGTTAGCAACGCTGCTAAGGGTGCAGAGCCACACATGCGCTCCGAGCTCTGCATGGGAGACTGAAGCTGACAGAGCTGCAGCAGTTAGCAGGTTTCACCCTCAGAGACCACCAGGGGTTCATGTTGAGGCATTTTCAGTTTTTTTTTTTTTTTTTTGCCATAGACACTGTCAGCACAATCTGCAGTTACACTAACAAAAATGCTGCAAAAAACAAAGAATTATGGAAAAATTACACATGGACTAACATAGAGGAGGATCTACACAAGTTTTTTACATCATGTTTTACATCATGCATCATTTACATCATGTTTTTTTGTAGTGGCATAAATAAAAAGTGACATTTGTGAGACTATACAGTGTTTTGTAAATAATTTTACAAAGAACACCTGGGCCATTGCCTGCATTTTGATGTAAATAGAGGTAAATTACTATGTTCTTTGTTAAAAATTTGCATATGTTTTGAAGTTTACAATTTTTATTTGAAGTTTAAGTTTTAAAAACAGTTCATCACACATATTTGTGGTTTTCACAGTAAAAACGTTACTTTTTTCCACTCGGATTTTATGTTTTGTGTGTGAATTTGGGTCCAATGTGTAAATATAGTATGTCAAAATGATAAAATAACTGTAAATTGACACAGGTGAGGTTGTGCTGAAAAAAATGATACCAGGCAAGGCAAGGTAAAAATTTTGTAAGAGGAAATATAAAGGTAAAATCTAAAGTAGTCAAAAACGGCCAATAGTGACTCACAGACTCCACAGACAAGTCCCTTTGGCGCCACTCAGTGGGCAAAACTACTTTGTCTACTGTAATGTATATTTGGGTCATCTTTGGCGCCCCCTAAAACGTAAACCGTGGGGTGCAGCGTCATGATTTTTACAACTTTGAATGGCCATGGAGTGTAGATTGGCCTGAGCAAATTTGGTGTCAGTGGGACGAAAGCCTTAGGAGGAGTTAGCGAAATTCCAATGTGTGCGAATCGGCAAAAAATGCAAAATAGCCCTTTTACCGTACATTATACAGATACGCGCTCTTTGACTTTTTCGTAGATCTAATTGAGATACACATGATTGTCAATTTTTGTGTCATTTTGCCAAAGCGTACAGGCGTGACAGTCAACAATGTGTATTTTCACCTTAGGGGACAAGAAAAAATGGACTTTTTTCTCCTGCCATGGGGGGGCGCTCTTTTAGGGAGTAAAAATTCCTTCACAAATGTGTTGATGGCTGGACATTGCATCATCCTAGAAAACTTGGAGGCCAGTGAGGACAAAAATAAAAAGTTATAAGACTTTTAAAAATGTGGATTTTTGGGTTATCTTTGGCGCCCCCTAGAACGTAAACCGTGGGGTGCAGCGTCATGATTTGAATAACTTTTAATGGCCATGGGGTGTAGATTGGCCTGAGCAAATGTGGTACCGGTGGAACGAAAGCCTTCGGAGGAGTTAGCGAAATTCCAATGTGTGCGAATCGGCAAAAAATGCGGAATAACCCTTTAACCGTACATTTGACAGATACGCGCGCATTGACTTTTTTGTAGATCTTATTGAGATACATGTGTGTGTCAATTTTTGTGTCATTTTGACAAAGCGTACAGGCGTGACACTCAACAATGTGTATTTTCACCTTAGGGGACAAGAAAAAATGGACTTTTTTCTCCTGCCATGGGGGGGCGCTCTTTTGGGGAGTAAAAATTCCTTCACAAATGTGTTGATGGCTGGACATTGCATCATCCTAGAAAACTTGGAGGCCAGTTAGGGCAAAAATAAAAAGTTATAAGACTTTGAAATATGTGGATTTTAGGGTTATCTTTGGCGCCCCCTAGAACCTAAACCGTGGGGTGCAGCGTCATGATTTGAATAACTTTTAATGGCCATGGGGTGTAGATTGGCCTGAGCAAATGTGGTGCCGGTGGAACGAAAGCCTTCGGAGGAGTTAGCGAAATTCCAATGTGTGCGGATCGGCAAAAAATGCGAAATAGCCCTTTAACCGTACATTTGACAGATACGCCCGCACTGACTTTTTTGTAGATCTTATTGAGATACATGTGTGTGACAATTTTTGTGTCATTTTGACAAAGCGTACAGGCGTGACAGTCAATAGTGTGAATTTTCACCTTAGGGGGCGCTATGGAGCCATTTTGCATTTTCTTGTTTGGGCGACTTCGGAATATCAAATTTTTCACCAGGCCCGGTCGTCCTGCCAAATTTCATGAGTTTTCGCCAGTGGGAAGTGGGCCATTTTCCAGTTCAAAGGGGAGGAAAAAGAAAAAAGAAACAAAGAAAAACCACTTGGGGAATAATAGGGCTCTCGCAGCTGCTTAGCAGCTACGCTCGGGCCCTAAAGAAGGAAACTACAGGAACAAGAGGGCTCTCGCAGCTGCTTAGCAGCTACGCTCGGGCCCTAATAAATAAATAAATAAAAGGTTTACTACTCTCGTGTCTTTCATTGTGAGTCAAGGGAAACCTCTCATCTTGAGAGATTAAGCCAACACAGAGGTGCTAAAAACTGCAGTTCCTCGGGTGTCCACTTGAGGCTGGCTCCACAAGCCCAGAAGCCGCTCATAAAAAAATAACCCATCATGACATTGAAATGAAACATGATTACAGCTTGGTTTCAAGTGTGAAATGCTAACTTCTCTACTCACACAATAACACTGATGAAGTTTTTTCATAACTCTTTAATCGTGAAGATAGTAAGGGAACAAGTTTAGCATGGATGATACTATAGGCAGGGGGACTAATGTTATATTATAGGTGGGGTAGGCAGGATCTGAGGAAATGCCAGTTTTTGGGAGAAATCTTGAATGTAAACACGACCCCTCCAAACCAGTTTTCGCCCACAAACAGACGGCCGTCCTCACTCCTGTTCTAATTAAATTCAGATATAATGCAGATAAATACTTCAGATAATCACAAATGGGGCCCAGTCAACTTGAAAGTAAAAAGCATTGGTGCTACTGTAGATGCCAACAGACTACCAGCAAACACAATGTTTGCAGGACTTCTACAACTAGGATAATGTGACAAACTCCAGGACCTGAGGTAAACTGTTCAGTGGCGCCACAAGACACGTTTGGTCTCGTTTGACTAGAAACACTTCTGTTACAGACACTTGGCTTACTTTGTTAACAAAGCGGTTTACCTGTCCAGCAGAAAGGTTACAGGGTCTGTAAGATCCCGAAGCGTCCTCCCCATCGTTTATGTTGACCCGGCTTTTTAGCTCTTGTCTGGGTGGTCTACCTTCTTTTTAGGTGCCCATTATTCCAGAGTCTCCGGTATTTAGGGCCCGAGCGTAGCTGCTAAGCAGCTGCGAGAGCCCTCTTGTTCCTGTAGTTTCCTTCTTTAGGGCCCGAGCGTAGCTGCTAAGCAGCTGCGAGAGCCCTCTTGTTCCTGCATGTTTCCTTCTTTCGTTATTATTTTTCCTCCGCTTTAAACTGGAAAATGGCCCACTTCCCACTGGCGAAAACTCAGGAAATTTGGCAGGACGACCGGGCCTGGTGAAAAATTCGATATTCTGAAGTCGCCCAAACAATAAAATGCAAAATGGCTCCATAGCGCCCCCTAAGGTGAAAATTCACATGACGGCTGTACGCTTTGTCATATTGACACAAAAATTGACACACACATGTATCTCAATAAGATCTACAAAAAAGTCAGTGCGGGCGTATCTGTCAAATGTACGGTTAATGGGTTATTTTGCATTTTTTGCAGATCTGCACACATTGGAATTTCGCTAACTCCTCCGAAGGCTTTCGTTCGACCGGCACCACATTTGCGCAGGCCAATCTACCCCCCATGGCCATTAAAAGTTGTACAAATCATGACGCTGCACCCCACGGTTTACGTTCTAGGGGGCGCCAAAGATAACCCAAAATCCACATTCTTAAAAGTCTTATAACTTTTTATTTTTGTCCTCACTGCCCTCCAAGTTTTCTAGGATGATGCAATGTCCAGCCATCAACACATTTGTGAAGGAATTTTTACTCCCCAAAAGAGCGCCCCCCATGGTAGGAGAAAAAAGTCAATTTTTTCTTGTCCCCTTACATGAAAATACACATTGTTGAGTGTCACGCCTGAACGCTTTGTCATATTGACACAAAAATTGACAATCATGTGTATCTCAATTAGATCTACGAAAAAGTCACAAAGCGCGTATCTGTATAATGTACGGTTAAAGGGCTATTTTGCATTTTTTGCCGATTCGCACACATTGGAATGTGGCTATCTCCTCCTAAGGCTTTCGTCCCACCGATACCAAATTTGCTCAGGGCAATCTACACCCCATGCCCATTCAAAGTTGTAAAAATCATGACGCTGCACCCCACGGTTTACGTTCTAGGGGGCGCCAAAGATGACCCAAAAATCCACATTCTTAAAAGTCATTTTGGCCACTGCAGGAGTACAGAGTACTGCAGTTCTAGGGGGCGCCAAAGATGACCCAAAAATCCACATTCTTAAAAGTCTTTTTGGCCACTGCAGGAGTACAGAGTACTGCAGGATACACACACATATACACACATGCCAATATACACACATGCCAACATACACACACACACACACACACACACACAGACACACACACACACTCAGAGTCTGTTTTTTAGCACCTGCAAAAACATGCTGTTTACATATTTGACAAGAATGCAGAGGCTTCCTTTTGCCCCTGAAAAAAATCAAATTTCAAACACAACTTGACTGTTCATTTCTCCAAAAGACAACCATGAAGCTCCATTTCAAACCTGAAGCAGATAGTTGGTGCATGTGTACAGTAACCTGAGGGGAGTGAGGTGACTATTTCTGAGGAGAACATGAGCAGTGAAGATTCACCTTGGAGCTAGAACAGGGACGTGCACATGATTATACAGGGGCAGGGGCTCAAGTTTTTTCCAGTCATTTATACAATATGGAAATTAATGTGAAATTAAACCACAAATATGTGTGATGAACTGTTTTTAAAACTTAAACTTCAAATAAAAATTGTAAACTTCAAAACATATGCAAATTTTTAACAAAGAACATAGTAATTTACCTCTATTTACATCAAAATGCAGGCAATGGCCCAGGCGTTCTTTGTAAAATTATTTACAAAACACTGTATAGTCTCACAAATGTCACTTTTTATTTATGCCACTACAAAAAAACATGATGTAAATGATGCATGATGTAAAACATGATGTAAAAAACTTGTGTAGATCCTCCTCTATGTCAGTCCATGTGTAATTTTTCCATAATTCTTTGTTTTTTGCAGCATTTTTGTTAGTGTAACTGCAGATTGTGCTGACAGTGTCTATGGCACAAAAAAAAAAAAAATTAAAATGCCTCAACATGAACCCCTGGTGGTCTCTGAGGGTGAAACCTGCTAACTGCTGCAGCTCTGTCAGCTTCAGTCTCCCATGCAGAGCTCTGAGCGCATGTGTGGCTCTGCACCCTTAGCAGCGTTGCTAACTCCTCAGTAAGGAAAGCCTGCTTCATGTCAGAGTCTCTAAACTCCAGAAGAAGTCGATAAAAGTCACTTTCTTTCTAAAAAAAAGTCGTTAGGGGGTCTGAAAAGTCATTGAATCTAACAACAAAGTCGCTAGGTTTGCAACTACGTGTCCCAGACTGCATCCCTGCTGAGAGTCCCTCCCTCCCTTCTCATGTTGCAGGAAGAACGTAAGCGCCCGCCCCTTGTCAATCAGTCACCATATAATTTTGGATTGGTTGTTGTGGTGAAGTTTTCCACCAATAGGAGAGATGTTGTGGTGTGTTTTTTTTTCTTTTGGCAAGCCTTTTCCGCCTGTAAGACCTGTCGCTAATGTCTGCATGCTATGTTTTCCTGTCTCATACAGCGCGATCGAGCGCCGAACGTGATCAAAATAAGCAGAAAAAAAGTATCGCGGACATAATTTATCATAACTCTGGTTTTATTTGGCCTATCAACACAATTTAAAAACTGGTATATAGGTTGAGGTCCTCACTTTTGAGATAAGTTGAAACGGAGAGTCAACAAGGCTCCGTCTTGCAGCTACATCCGGTTAAATATGTCATGTGACTTGAACGCACACACAGACACACACACACGCACACACACACACACACACACACACACACACACACACACACTCAGAGTCTGGTTTTTAGCACCTGCAAAAACATGCTATTTACATATTTGACAAGAATGCAGAGGCTCCTTTTGCCCCTGAAAAAAATCAAATTTCAAACACAACTTGACTGGTCATTTCTCCAAAAGACAACCATGAAGCTCCATCCAAACCTGAAGCAGGCAGTTGGTGCATGTGTACAGTAACCTGAGGGGAGTGAGGTGAGTGCTTCTGAGGAGAACATGAGCAGTGAAGATTCACCTTGGAGCTAGAACAGAGACATGCACATGATTATACAGGGGCAGGGGCTCAAGTTTTTTCCAGTCGTTTATACAATATGGAAATTAATGTGAAATTAAAACACAAAGTATTAATAGAAAGGTAATGACTGTCCTGTGTAGGTGACAGTGATATCCAATAGGCTAGGCACTCACGAGGCTGGCTGTGGCAAGTGTAAGTGAAAGCAACACGCACTGGCAGGAAGAACAGCAAACGCCGATGAAGGAAAAGGGTCTTTGCAGTGATGGGCGTTAACAGAGAGGGCGATGGCCAGAGGACACAAATGGGACGGGGAGGCAGCACGTTGGGGGGGGGGGGACGCGACACGGCTCGGGCCCGCCAGTGCCCCAACGGGGTCCTAGTTTGTTATTAGGGCCCGAGCGTAGCTGCTAAGCAGCTGCGAGAGCCCTATTATTCCCCAAGTGGTTTTTCTTTGTTTCTTTCTTTCTTTCTTTCTTTCTTTCTTCTTTTTCCTCCCCTTTGAAGGGGAAAATGGCCCACTTCCCACTGGCGAAAACTCATGAAATTTGGCAGGACGACCGGGCCTGGTGAAAAATTCGATATTCTGAAGTCGCCCAAACAATAAAATGCAAAATGGCTCCATAGCGCCCCCTAAGGTGGAAATTCACACTATTGACTGTCACGCCTGTACGCTTTGTCATATTGACACAAAAATTGACACACATATGTATCTCAATAAGATCTACAAAAAAGTCAGTGCGGCCGTATCTGTCAAATGTACGGTTAAAGGGTTATTTCGCATTTTTTTCCGATCCGCACACATTGGAATTTCGCTAACTCCTCCGAAGGCTTTCGTTCCACCGGCACCACATTTGCTCAGGCCAATCTACACCCCGTGGCCATTAAAAGTTATCAAAATCATGACGCTGCACCCCAAGGTTTAGGTTCTAGGGGGCGCCAAAGATAACACTAAAA